ACATGTACCGCTGCTGTATCTTTTTCATCTAGAAAAAACGAAATTTCCATGTTTATACTACAGGTCCTTCTTTCTAAGAAATTACCAAATTGAACTCTCCTCGCTCGGATGTTCCATGCTAAAATCAATATTTTTCGAAAACTGGGGCCCGTGGAAATCTAAAAATTCACGGTTATACTTTTAAGGGCTTGTACTATACAACCCATGAATGGAAACAGCGCAGCTTCGTTTTTGTATGAACACGAAAGTTTACGTTTTCTCGATTTCTAGACAAGGAAAAAATACAGCAATGATACATATAAGTTTCTGATGTGGTGTGTAATCTGCATGTGCGATTTGGAGATCCGTAGGATTTATTTGAAGGATAAAATGAATTTTTCCCAATTTTCGAGCCTTTCATTACTACTCAGATTCTAAATGCAAACTTACGCTGGGCCGAAACTGGTGCATACTTTTGCATACCTTCTTGTAGAAATTGCTTTGCTCTATCGAATGGTTTATCTATCGGATGTACATGCATTAAATTTCGAGAAATAACAGATCTCGTCTAAAAATGTCCCAGAATTTTCAAGAGAACCTGATATAACTCTAAATAGCTGAACAACTTTCAAACCAACTTTTGATTTCATATAACGTCAATTTTTGAAATTTTAAAGTAATTCAAAAATTAACCTTGTAAAGAGGGGCAGTTTTTTCTTCGCGCTTACATGAAGATTCTCAGGGCCATCTAAACACTGTGATTATTTTGATGATGACGGCATCTGCATCGAGTATATTGCGGTAAAAATTAGTGCTCTACACAAAATTTCAAATCTGCAAAATTTCGCCATAGGGCATGAAAAAGCTTCTAAAACTCCCATATAAATGTGGTTCTTGATACGTGATATCTGCTTCTCTTGTTTCCACTGTGTGAATTTGAGAACTGGATACTGAAAGGTACCAAAGTCACAAAATTCAGTCTCCTCAAACTTTACGACTTATTAAAGGAGATGCGTCATATTTTCACAATGACAAAAGTTGGTCATGTTGAAGTATGACGAACAGCTGAAGTAGAGCAGACTAGCATCCGTCACAATCAGCATCATGGGAAGTGCTCAAATCGATGCTTTATTCGTTGTTCGCAAATCTTGTTTTTAACTTCAAACGAATTCCAGATTGTTTGCTCGTTGTTAAAGCTCCTGAATTTTGAAATTAATCAGGTAACTTTTCAAGCCTAAATCAATGCCCTTTATTCGAAAATAAAGGTTCGCGCTTTAGATTAGCCAGCGCAAATTTGATGTCTAGGTCTTGAATCAAGATTCCAACGAAGGAACTTTAAATTTTGTGTTTTTGAGTTTCGTGGTAACAGTACTAAAAGTTTCGAATGTTCCAAAAATTTTGTAAGAGTTTCTTACGTAACAGTAGGCTAGCTATACGTTACTGTGGTAAACGCATAAAGAAACAGATGCGAAGAACGTCATCCTGCAGGACAAATACTCTTATCATCGCATTTTCTCAATAAGAGCAAATGAAGGCTTAAATCAGAAATTTGACCTAATGACTAACTAAAACTGTGTGACACTTTGGGTAATAAGGAATGTTTTCAATGACAATATGCTGTATTGAGATAATCTTCTCTCTAAAATGACTTAATTAACAGTTCTTTATATCTCCGTACGAGATTAAGGCCTAACTAATGTGTGACTGTTGCTAGTGAAAACTTTTTACATGGTTATTCTTGCTAACTAGCAGTAATTCAATATTTTATTTATTTATTTGTTTATTTATTCAATACGCACAAGGCGTGCCATAATTGGAAAAAGAGCAAAATACTTAGAGCGTGAACCTGAGAAATAACAAAACATCCCCAAAAGCTCAAGTCCAGCTCCGTGAGTGGAAAGAGGTTAAGGAGGTTAGGAGTATTCCATGCCATTAAACTTACAACAGCGAATTTTATAGTGCCGCCTCTGAGGTTTAATTTTATGAGATTAGTCGAAAGAAAGCTTCTAACAAGGAAGAGTTCCCAAGTCAGCTCGGCCAACCCGGATAAGTCTCATATCACCGTAACGGGCTTCAAACGCTGATTCCAAATCTGCTTCCCGTTTCTGCGGAACAACTCTCCGAAAGAAGTTATGGGCGTTTGAAAGCACGAATTTGTCATGTTTAAAATGGCTTAAAATTAGCTAAATACTCTAAAACGACACCTGGCGGGCTTCCACTCGCTGTATTCCGTCTCCTCGTAGTTAGTATACTCGTTACAAAACTGATAACCCACTTTCACGTGTTACTGTAGAGCTTTCGCCAATTTTATGCCACTCTGAACATGACAAATTTATACTTTCAAACGCTTATAACTTCGTTCGGAGTGTGGTTCCGCAGAAAAGGAAAGCAGATTTGGAATTAGCGTTTCAAGCCCGTTACGGTGATGCATGATTCATCCAGGTTAGCCGAGCTGACTTGGGAACTCTTCCTCGTAAGTAACTATCTTGAAATGCAAATCATCTTCAATTTTGGTAATTACCTTGAACTGCAAATTGCCATACCAGAATTTGGTTTTGGTTTATGATTTGGAGGGTCAACGGACTTTATTAGAAACCTGAGGTACATATTTGGAAGCATTTGAGCTCGTTAGCGAATATTTTGATGAATTTGACCTTCTTGCTTGCATGGTTTTGTAACGTTCGTAGAGTGAAGGAGACGGTCATTTCAGACTCTCACTTGTTACCGCAAAATATTCTAAGGAACACATTCTCAGATCACGATCAAAAAAGTGCAAAAAGGTCGAGAATGGGCTAAGTTCCAGCTTACTTTGCTGTTGGGAAAAACGGGCTTTCAAGTCCATTTTATTTCTAGCAGCAAGTTTTTAGACACTGGGAGCGGACGAGCCGAGGCCTCAAAAGGCCTTTCCGGCCCGACTGCGGCCTTAATTTGGAGGGCGTGGCGGTGGGGCCGACCCGCGGTCCTTCGTTCATGTCAGTTATCATTGCACCGGCCGAGCCGCGGGAGAAAATGGGCTCATCGACTCAGCCGCCGTTCTTTCATGGGGAGGAACATTGCAGCGGTTGAGCCGCAGAATAAAATCTGTGTAAGAAACTCCGGCCTAGCAGCGGCTCGGCCGCTTCCAATGCTTAAGCGTAAAGGATGCTTACGTGAAATACGAGGCATGGTCAAGTGCCTTCGCTGGCCATAGCATTGGATGTGTTTCCAATCTGCCAGGTTGGGACAAAATCAATATGTTGTCTTATAAACAACATCGACAGCGTCTTAAAGTTATCCATCCTTGTTATGTCGGACCTGGTTTTCGAAGTTGCTATATCGGTGGCTTCAATTTTTGTTTTTACTGCGTATTTTCTATACCTCAGTAAATGAAAAACAACTCTATTATGTATCTGTGTCCGGCTTGAAGAACCAATTTTATATAATTTGATGACAGAGCGAGGCCTATAAATGGTGGGCCAAGGGCCGATTACGGCTGAGCTAGAATGAACTACGTACGGCTCGACAGGCAGATGCGTAATGAACTACGTACGACTCGACAGGCAGATGCGGCCGAGCCGAGCCCACTTGCGGCCAAGCCGAGGTTTATCGCCGGCCCAGCCGAGGCTGTCTCCGGCTGGCTCGCGACGCTGCGAAATTCCAGCCTGAGAAAAGCCGCAGCTCGTCCGCACCCAGTGTCTGAGATGGAGGTAAATTTCAGTTTGCCCCATCCTGAATAAACTTTTCACGTGTTTCTTCGCAAATGAGAGCTTAGATAGGGTTGAATTATTTTTACAAAGCCCGCCATTCGGTTGCGATGGATAAAAGATTATGGATAACGATAGCGAAAGCAGATTCCGATCAGGCTTTACCTCGAACGAATAAAATGGGTTTTAAAAGTCTATTTTCTTCATTATGGAATTTTGCGGATATTATTCCAGATCTCTTCGAAATCCAAAGAGAAGCTTCACCTAGTAAGCATCATATTCGGAATCAACCGTCAAACAAACCACTGTTTCAGATTTTTGGCCTGGAAAGAGGTTTTGACCCCATAATGTGCACCTACCGCGCCTTCATAACCGCGTTGTCTAGTTAGCGATATGATAATCTTTTTGCGCTGGGTCGAGTACGTCGCTCCTAAATCAAATTTCGGCAAAATACGCGGTTTTGATCTCGACCTGTAACTGCCATAACCCTCTAAAATTGCGCGACAAGATGTCAATATGATATTTGAAAGAACAAACAACTCCTTGACTCGAATTTTGAGACTGATGGCTCTGGAATTCTGGGGTCCAACTAGACCAGCGCCAACGTTGCCATTCGACGATGGTAGTTCCGCGACAAATTGTTACATTCAACGATGAAATGTCCCCAACTCAAAAAAATCCTGTCAATCACCGGCGATTCAGCTCATTTTGGGGCATTGTAAGATGCCTCAACCAATCTTGAAAATTACAAGGTTTTGTGACGTCACTTTTCTGAAAAACTTTTAAAAGGAAGATGGCACGACTAGCCTTTTGCACGAGTGGGATTTGACCAGAAAAACTTGAAAAAAATGATTGTGAAATTGCGGCCCGATTCGCTAAAGCCTATTTTCACTTACTTCAAATTTGTCCTCATATCTGCGAACGATGAGTTGTGAGTCTTTTCATACAAAAGTTGAACGTGCCATCGCGATGCAAACTGTTGTAGCAATATATCTAGCCCATAGGGTTCTAATGGTTATCAATGTATACGACCCGAAAATATTGTTTGCAAAAAGCACATGACAGTCACAACGGCTTCACTCATGCTTACGAAAGACAGTCCTATACATACTAAGTGTCCTTCGAAAAGCACCGCTTTGCAGATAATAGGTGGAGTTAGCGTTTTGCACTTTTTTAGAAGTGTGCTTACATTGGAAACTTTATTTCAAACCTAATATCAGCTGTGGTGGAGATTCGACACAAATAAAAATTTTTTTGCAAGATACTCAAAACCTTAGCATAAATCTCATTCAAAAAAAAGCAAGTAAAAAGCTAGAGAAGTATGAAATGAGGGACTACCTGATTTAACGGATATTGACTTAAGCGAAATCCAAATTCTCTCCCTGTATCGTTCGATGACGGTGTTCAAAGGGCTTGAACCATGATTGTGCATAGCCAGCAGACATAGGACAGCAAACACAAAGACACCAGTATACCTAGCTGACCAAAACAACGCAGGTCTTTTCCAGCTTGTCCATTTCCCTTAAAAAGATAGCTTCATTATTGCGTTTTCATTGACTATAGCACTAAGAAAATCTTCTGTTTTTCTGTAAAACTCAAAATGCTCCTTTTGTTGTAAATAGATCCAACTGCATAGTTAAAAATTCGTTCTTATTTGAAGGCTGGTCCAAAAATCAGGAATCTATTACAAACAGCAGAACTACATTCTGTTATTTAAATGAACCAAGAATTTATATTAACGTCCGTCTTGCATGCTTTTCCCAGCTGAGGTCTACTAGACTGTAAAATCAATGGAAGTTTTTCGCGCCATAGATACTCTATCAAAATGAAAACAATCTTTTTAGAAAGTTATAAATATCATCTGAAAGCAGCTTTTTTCTAGTTTCTTGCGCTTTCTTTTACTTCGAAAAGCGTTTGAAGCAAAGCACGTGCCTCTTTTTGTCGCCTTGGCGCAGTTCACCCTGCGGCTATATCTTAGCACTTCTGCCGGTCGAACATTGAATGCCTTAACGGTGATCATGCTCGTCCGTGTGCATGAATGGCACACACAGCACACACAACCTCGTCACATGTTCGATGAACAAAGGAAAATAGTGCGCCTAGGCAGAAGGCGCAGGCGACTAGTGGTAAAGTACGTCCACTTCGTTTGATGCGCGGGAAGCTTAGCCACAAAATATCAACAGCTGATAAGTGCCGAGCAATTTCTCTGTTTTCTGAATTTCAATGTTCTTTGTGAATCTGAAAGTTGAACTTTGAAAGACTTCAAAAGAAGATTCTAGTGTTCGAAGAAATATTGCCCATTCGAATTCGATGCCCATTTTTGAGCTGCTTTGAAAATGAACTGTTATACAAACAAAACTAGTTGACTTAGATTCGCGTTTCAGAATGAGGCGCATATATCTGGAATCAGCTTCGAACGCTAATTCTAAATGCTGTTTCTAGCTGCGACACATTACGCTGAAAAAAGCCATGAGCTTGTTTTTATGTGTAATTGGTAAACCATTCAACATGAGAAGGCTGCGTGTAGATGAAAATTTACCTTAAAAACGGTGCTGGTATTCTAAAATAACATTAGATTGAGTCTTTAGTCTGTTGAAAAGAAAACTAACATAATAAGTTAGCACTTACAGGACAGAGTTTCCAAGCTCGGCCAACCCGGATTAGTCATATATCACCGTAACGAGCTTAAAACTCGTATTTTAAATCTGTTTTTGGTTTCTGCGGAACAACTCTACAAAAGGAGTTATCAGCGTTCAAAAGTCCACACTTTCAAGTCTCAAGTAGCGTAAAACTGGCGAAAGCTGTACAACACACGTAAAAGTAGGTTTTCAGTTTTGTATCAAGTATGCTGACTACAAGGACGGAAAATAGCCACTGGAAATCCGCTAGGTGTTGTTTTAGAGCTTTTTGCTGATTTCATAAGCCACCTCGAACATGAAAAGTTTTCGTAGAGTCGTTCCGCAGTAAAGGAAAGCTGTTTTGGAATCAGCATTTCAAGCCCGTTACGGTGATTTATGGCTCATACAGGATGGCCGAGCTGACTTGGGAACTCTTTTTGTTAGATGATGTATCGTAACGCCTGTAGGTCAAAAGTGATGCAAAATTTGACAGAAAAAAGCGTTAGCTCGCTAGAATGCCGCGCCACAACTAACAGCATAATTAGAATCAGCGTTTAACGCTGATTCGGCACCTAGCGAAAGTAGTCTTGAGTTTGCCTTACCGAGGACGGTTCCCTAATATACAGCTCATTCCAAATGGCCACTTCGACCGATCATCCTTCTCTTGTAAGTTACCTGACCTTACTGCTAAGAAGGACAAGGCGGTACTTTTGTTAAAGCGATGTGTTGTAGCGCTTAAACGTTAACACCGCATGCAATCGATTTATCTTTCTAATCCTTTCCCCTAGAGCGTACCTTCGATAGTCCAGAGACAGGGCGTCAAAAATGAAGGATGTTTGAACATATGACCTCATAAAAAGTGAAGGTTGTTTCAAGAAGATCAGAGAAGGTAAAATGACGTGAAACAGATATAAAAAGCAAAAGAAACTGCTAAAAATAGGATAAAAACGCTGCAATGAGGTTTGCAAACTTTCATTTAGGGGCATTTCAAAGTACAAGTTTTCGCTCCATCAGCAATTCGCAACACGTGGGAAAGCGAAGAAAAGCTATTTTCTTTTTTTGCGATTGTTTCAAAACAACACGTTTTGGAAGGAGTGGTCATCGAGAAGAAGATAAACAAAAGAAATTAGTTATAGAAAGGCAAAGATTTTTTTTACTAAGTCGAGATGAACGTCGAAGTTTATTTTTTGATGCGTCCTTTGAATTTCTTGCATTGAGTTCCCCTTTTCTGGGACGTTGTCTAAATTGTTGCGCTTATTGTTCTGAGCAACACCAAGCTGGAAAAAATCGATGCGAAAGCACTGACACAGAACAAGGTAAAAACGCACTTTTTACGATTTTTCGCAAAAAAATCCACAATAATCGAAGAGATAAAGGCTAGGTGGTTGTCTGCGTTAAGGACAGAAGCGGGTCCTATAGAATCCACGGAAAAAACCGCGTGAAAAGAGGTAAACTAGGAGAAAAGACAAGAGATTTTCAAAAACAAGTTTTTTGCCGGAATTCTTGACCAAATCAAAAAGTGTGTTTTGGAACGTTGTCAGCGAGAATAGAGATCAAGAGCTTCAAAATGACATATAGCTTGCTCAAATTGGTTTTGAAACAGCGAAGAAAAGGGTACAGGGCCCGGTTGTCAAATGACAAGCTGGAAATCGTTTTCGGCAAAAAAAGCAAAGGGAAAATCATTTTGCGGGGTTGGGCGGAGCCCCGGAAAAAATTGATAGTTTATGCTCACCGCGTGTCTTAACATGTTATGGGCCTCAACAGGCAAACACTGGAGTTCGCGCGCGGTAAACCGCGCCGTCGCTAATTGCCGCACGCGCGATATCGCTCAAACGATGCTATTTGTATCAGCATACATGACTAGTTCGCAGTGTATGCATAACGATATGAGACAAAATTTTTTAAGCGACGGAGGGAGGCTGTGGAAACAAAGTATGAAAAATTATGATAAACTTATGTGGACGGAACGAGTAATGAGCATTTTTTCCGAAAATTTTGCAAAATTAAAGATTGTGCCTGAAGATTGTGGCAACCCTTTTTCTGAAAATTTCCCGCTACCAAAAAATGGAAAAATGGCTCGTTTGCAGTGCAGAGGTGACGAAATCGCGCGGGATTTGGAGCGTATATGCGCAGTAGAACTAAGCAGCAAAGTGCGAAAAATTATGAAAAATTATGTGAATGAAGAGCGTGCCCAGCTTATTTCCAAATTTGGCTGCCATTTGACAACCTAATGACAATCTGAGGTTGCCAAAACTTTCAGTTCACATAATTTTATCGAAAATTTTACATAAATCTACTCTACACCTAAAGCTTAGCATATGTTGGCATTTTGGTGTCAAACCTCCTCCTCTCCTTATTGCAGCCCCGTTTTCTAAGGAGGAAAGCGCGCTCTACAATCAATAACGGCGTCGCTGGGTCCTATAATCGGCGAACTGCCCTGATATTTTGTCATTTCTCTGGCGAATCACTCATCTTCGTTGTTATTTTTATTCATTTTTGTAAGCTACCAAATGCTCGATGCTTTTGTTGTTTTCTATCGCAATGAAAGATGAAGGAGATTGCCTTTAAGCTTCTCGAACCTTGTCTTTTATCTGTGCTTTCTTTCTCTCGTCTCCGACTGTTGTGAAGAACGTGACTGACATAAATTTTGTTTTACAGAACTGCCCTGACTTGACTGGGTTACGTTTTTTATTTGTTAACCTAGCCAAAATCCAGGTAAATTGGTGTGGGCCAATCAGGGAATGCAAGCGCTCATTCCCGTCATAAATAGGGTCCAGGTAAGCTTTTCATGATTTACAACTTAAGCTTCCTTACCGTTAAGATTTCATTCAATTTTTTTTTGTAGCAGGATGCATTCTTGTATAGGCCTCAAAGTACCATTCGATAGAGCAAAGCAATCTCTACAAGGTGGCAATCTTGCTTTAGCAACAACTCTAATCCACCACGAGTTTGAGCCAAAAACTAAAAAGACTCAGCAGCCCGAAAAATCGAGAAAAATTATAACTTAGTTCATAAGAACCCTACGAAAATTCTCATTTGCTCACGTAAACACTATTCACATGAGACATATATGTACGCCGTTGCGGTAATTTTTCCTCTGTTAGAAATCAAGAAAACGGAAATTTTCATGCTTTTGTCAAAGTGATACCGTGCCGTTCCCATATAGATAGTTGTACACTACAAGACTGTAGAAGTACAAACATAAATTTTCAGCTCTCTACAAGCTCTAGTTCTCGAGAAATTTAAATTTTAACTTGGACTACCTGACTAGTGAAAGCTATATTCGATATTTTTCGAAAACTAAAGCTTGTAGAGAGCTGGAAATTTATGTTTGTACTTCTACAGGCTTGTAGTGTACAACTACTCATCTGGGAACGGCACAACACCACTTTGGCAAGAGCATGAAAATTTCCGTTTTCTTGATTTCTACCAAAGGAAAAAATACCGCAACGGCGTACATATGTGTCTCATGTGGATAGTGTTTGCGTGAGCAAGTTAGAATTTTTGTAGAGTTCTTATAAACTAAGTTATGCTTTTTCCCGATTTTTCGGGCTGCTGAGTCTTTTTAGTTTTTGGCTCAAACTCGTGGTGGATTAGAGTTGTTGCTAAAGCAAGATGTCACTTTGTAGAGATTGTTTTGCTCTATCGAATGGGACTTTGAAGCCTATTCAAGAATGAAAAGTGTTTGACTTATTGCGGTTGAAATTCAAAACGGACATTAATTTCCGGACAACCTAATAAATTGTGCAGGTTTCTTTACACGGTTATTTTTGCAGAGATTTTCTACCCCGTGGATCTGGTATAGTAACACAACGTCCTTTGATTATGCAGCTTATTCATGATAGGTTAGCTTTCGACTGAGCTATTGATTTTTCTCGAAAAACTTCTGGAAATTGCCACCTG